TGAGTATAAGAGAATAATCAGAATATTAAAAAAAAAAAATTCTGACCCTAAACCTTTGAATTGTACACTGTTCAAACTGGGTTATGTTGTACTTAAATGGCTAAATTTTCTGTCTTTCCAGGCCGGTGGGTCACAGGTTATCTTCACCAATCCTCTGGAAATTGTTAAGATTCGTCTGCAGGTGGCCGGTGAGATCACTACAGGCCCCAGAGTGAGCGCACTCAACGTAGTCCGAGATCTTGGCTTTTTTGGCCTCTACAAGGTGGGGAAATCGCCAATTTTTAAAATGGTGTATCGAACAACAATTGCCATTGTAACTGCTCTTTATTCTTGAATTGCATTTCAAATACGGTAAACAATAACACACAAATGTTACTGGTTTTCCTCCACAGGGTGCGAAGGCTTGCTTCCTGCGTGATATCCCCTTCTCTGCCATCTATTTCCCCGTTTATGCCCATACGAAGGCAGGTCTGGCAGATGAGGATGGAAGGCTGGGGCCTTTGCAGCTGCTGACCGCTGGTGCCATCGCAGGTCAGAACGTGCCTCACGCTTGTACTTTGTGATGCTGACACAGTGCGGTTTCAGTTAAGGACTTGTGTGCGTCTATTTTGCACTTGTTTTAGAGTTTATCCCGTTCAAAACTCTGTGCTGTGTGATTGTTAACAATCAACAAAACAATTCAAAACACAAGATTTTTGGTGTAAAATGACTGAAGAGTACCAGAATGTTTTTACTTTTTTTTTTTTTTACTTTCATGAAATGAAATGATAAAAGCAAATTACTGATCTAATTATTTTCTGTATACATCTAATTTTTGCCATTGTAAATTTTAATCAAAATGTCTGAACTTGATCTTCTGAGAAAAAGACAACTTTATTTAGTTATTTAGTTTTTAGTTATTATTTAGTCTTCTTAAAACCCATCTTGAATGCAAGCTTGCATTCATCTGAAAATCATAATTTCCCTTAAAATAACATATATGAATGAATCATGCATGATAAGACTAGATCATGTATTAATAGATGTCTGGATGATTTTATTTTACAGGTGTCCCGGCTGCTTCGCTTGTCACCCCTGCTGATGTCATCAAAACACGACTGCAGGTGGCTGCTCGTGCCGGTCAGACGACTTACTCTGGAGTGATCGACTGCTTCAGGAAGATCTTAAAGGAGGAAGGATTCCGAGCTCTGTGGAAGGGAGCTGGAGGTACACACAAACACACACACACACACACACACACACACACACACACAGGTATCATTTCAGTCACATCCATACTCACTCCCAGTCCTTTCTCTCTGTGTTCTCTGTAGCTCGTGTGTTCCGTTCATCTCCTCAATTCGGTGTGACCCTGGTGACCTACGAGCTCCTGCAGCGATGGTTCTACATTGACTTCGGAGGACAGTAAGTATTGATCATGTTGAGCACACTTTTTACTGCATGAAATGTTAAGAAACGTGCCTCACCAGAGGATTCACACAGCATGAGGACATGCCTTTAAAATATAGATCTGATGGATGAGCTACATCCAGAACTACCATAGTGGTAGTTCTAAAACAGCTGATGTACACGTTTTTGCACATCACTTGAATTCTGTTTTAATTTGCCAGCAATCCAGCTACAAACAATTGAAATGGCTAAAAAGTTAGATTCTTATATTGATAATATACACTACTGTGCAAAGTTTTGGGGTCAGTGAGAGTTTTCTTTTTGAAAGAAATGAATACTTTTATTCAGCAAGGATGCATAAAATTGGTCAAAAATGAAATGAAAAACATTTGTTAGAAAAGATTTCAATTTCAAATAAATGATGTTCTTTTAAACGTTCTGTTCATCTAAGCATACTGAAAAAGCTGAATTAGCAGCACAGCTGTTTTCAGCGTCGATAATAATAAGAAATGTTTCTTCAGAAGTAAATCAGCATATTAGAATGATTTCTGAAGAATCATGTGACACTGAAGACTGGAGTAATGATGCTGAAAATTCAGCTTTGATCACAGGAATAAATGACACTATAATATTTTACAATAGAAAACAGTTCTTTTAATTTGGAATAATATTACTATTTTTACTTTAGGCCTATTTTTGATCAAATAAATGCAGCCTTGTCTTATATGAGAGACTTCTTACAAAAACATTTAAAAATGTACAGATTTTTTTTAATGTTTTTTAAAAAATGTTATGAAGGGACTCTATTACTTGGTTTACCGTTAATGTTTTTTTTTTTCTTTTTCTTGCACATAAAATATCTGAAGTAGGTCCTGAGAAATCACCAGTCTCTTTGAGAGAGCAATGCTGTGTAAACAGTGTAAATGTGTCAGGGAGCAAAAAACTAGCCACTCTGCCAGTGAATCACTTTGTGCTCGCTCAGGTTGACTTACATGACTTCAGAGTGCAGGGTGTTGGAGAAAGGGTGTTGTAAAGTACTTAATTCAGTGGAAATTAGAAAACAACTGAGAAATATGGCATGTCGAGTCACTTTGGATAAGCATTTGCTGTAAGAAAAAATCTCTTCTCTTCCCTTCTAGTCGCCCTGCTGGTTCTGAACCAACGCCCAAATCCCGGATCTCTGAGCTTCCTCCTGTCAGTCCTGAGCACGTCGGCGGTTACCGTCTGGCAGCCGCCACCTTCGCCGGCGTGGAGAACAAGTTCGGACTGCACCTGCCCAAGTTCAAATCCTCCGGGGTCACGGCCATTCACTCCGAAACGCCCAAGGAACAAGCCGACGCTTTGTAAAGTAACACCCCGCCCACCACGGCCTTGTCCTCCAATGGCTGCATGCCTCCCTCCCGCCCGCAGTACATTTGCCTACATTTTTTTCTTTCATTTTCATTTCATTCAGTTGAGTTTTTAGGTGGGGGACATGGGAAATTATACTCGTTTTCAGAGTCTTGTTGCTTTAACCCATATTAGTGCCTCAGTTTTGACGAAGAACACTGGTTAAAGCTCATAGTTAGTGTTTTCTGAAGCACAGGGTAGACGTTTGCCACACTGATCGAGACCTAAAGCGACACGTGCAGTGAAAAATCTAACAAGGGCCCTAGAGAAGTTCATCAGCCACCGAAACGAAAGCTAGAGCTTTTCATGAAACACTCCTGAAAGAGAAACCATGACATGTACTGTCAGTTTTGTGTTCCTCTGCTCCCCAAGATGCACATTCGCTGCTTTTGAGTTTTCTTCTCATGATTATGATGTATTGATGTGACCGAAGCATGCTGTAGCGCTCTTCATTTGCTCAGTAGGCTTTGCGTAGCTTGCAGATGTACTGTATATACATGTACATCTCATGCACAGAGACGTGTTTCTCTCTCTCTCTCTTCGTCACACTGACTGATGTACAAAGGTTTCAAAACTTGATCGATTGATCAGAGAAATCATGGTTGACTCGAAATGTAGAAAATAATTTAAATGCATTTCATTCTTGTATTTTATGGAAATAAATCAATGCGGTTACATTTTATTTCTAGTTTGTGAAGGTTTTATTGAGTTTATTACTGCAAGTTACAAAAGAGGTCAGTGATAAAGTGAACTAGTGAAGCCGTTGGAGGATCAAACACATGCAAGATCAACACGCTTGTCCTGGTCATGTAAATCAGGGATCCCACACATCTGACCAAAAAAAATAAAATATGCATGCTCAAAGCACAGCTTCTAGCTGAGGAAATATATTGCATAGGGTTAGGCTTGTTGATTTTTTATTTTTTATTTTTTTGACTTTGCTCATTGTGCTTTTGAAAGTCCAATCATATTCCCATCCAAATTAGGGAATTTTAACCAAATATGAATAAATGTGCATCTAAAATGCCTAAAATATTTAAAAATACTTTTAGGAATTCTTAATATTGTCATGTGTAGTTATGAATGTTGTTTTATATTCATTATGAATAAATTAACCCATTAACTGTGTATGGGTATATATAGATTTTAAAATTCTCTGATCTGATCTGTGTTTTCATGATTGTGGGACCCTGATGAATCCGTTCAGATGTTCAGAAACTTCCTTCATTTCAGAAAAACAATATTTAAAAGAAACCGACAAGCTTTGGTTCAGAATGTTTGTCTATATTAAGGCAGGTTTGACTTTATGGACTGATTAAGTTTTTTTTTTTTATCAAGTACATTTTCATTTTAGTTGTTCTGAACCATTTAAAGCCGCAATATTTTAACTCTTTTTCCCACCAAACACAGAATTTTCCGGGTTTCCACTGTTGTACGCTAGGGGGCGCTATTCTACATATCCTGAATGAGGCTAGAAAGTGCGATCAAAAACACAGACCAAGAAGACGCAGAAATGAGCGATCTCATATGTATGCATATGAAAAATAATGCGATCATCAACACTAACCGCATATAAATGAAAACTGCCTAATTCTACAGAGTGAAATGTCAATCCAGAAACTGGTAGAGGCCTGTGCAAGCTTTGGGAGTACTGATGGAAGCAATCTACTGCATCTTTGCTTTGATAATATTACTGAATATGATACAGATATTACTAGTATTTGATAAAAATGCGATTTTCTCAGCTTGTTGCTTTTTTATGAAACCTACCAACATCCAAGTGTTGATTAAAAAAAGCAATGCTTGAAGCTAGAATAAAACTGATTTTTTTTGTTTGAAAATCGAGGGTCTGATCTTTATTTTGATGTATTGCGTGTTCAGATATTCATACAACAAAATCTTCTGGGGGACATGAAATTTTAGTGAAAATCAGCTAAATCGCTGGCGGTGGCTGGCAACTTTTTTCAAAACGCCGGGGAAAGAGTTAAACTCCAGGCTAAATTCACATAACATCCATTAAAAACATTACTAGATGCTAATATTTGTTAGAATTTTACACTAAAATTTATATGAATGTAAAAGGGAAGCTGTTTTAGGTCTTGAGATTTTGTAACTAAATAATGCTGCTTACACAATGTCAAGAAAAAACAATAAATTACATAAATACTACTAAAACCCACAGATAATGAGTAAACTGAAATATTTTAAAAACTCTGTAAAAGCAGTCGCATTATTGTCTGGGAGGTCACTAAATTCAAATTACAAATAAAATATGTAAAATTACAGATTAAAATGGTAAAAATACATAACGGTTAACCGTTAAAGGAAAAATGTATTAGTCAAATAAATGGCAAAATAATAACACTGTCTACTAGTGTCTACTAGTTTAAATATGTGCCAAAGGAAAGTTTTAAGTTTGAAATACGAGATAGTCACCACTAATAAGCTATTACTAAATATAATGTAGAAACTTTAATTTTCTGTAAAGCTGCTTTACAACGATTTGCATCGTGAAAAGCACTATACAAATAAACTTGAATTGAATAGAAATGCTAATTAAAGGACCATGGCTTTTCTCCAAGTCCTTTTGAAATGACAAATCATGGGACATTTTTAAAACAGTGAAGGCAAAAAAAAAAGAATTTTCAGTCATAAGCGCTGGAATAAACAAGCACCAAGAGGGTAATCCTTTGTGTGATGGAAGATTGTGGATACGTGTGTGTGTGTGTGTGTTTGTTATAAAATTAGCTTTAAGGCATTCAGAAGTAAGAACGGAGTTACATGTTGAAAAGTGTGCTGATTTGGTTATTACAAGTGTTCAGTCTTTATGAGCTAAAAACAAAATGCATTTGTTAAAAAGTTATAAATAATCCAATAATGCGACCGTTTATCCGGGAGGGAATGTTAAAATTATCCCACCTCTTTAAAAGCACATTTCTCCTGTTACTGTAGTTGGTTATGTCAGTGTCTGAAGTTGCTGTACAATAGTTTGCATATTGGAAGTGTTAGTGTTGCTGTATGGCAAACAATCCTCCTTTTCCTCCAAATCAGCCTCTAATCCTACAAATAGATAAAAACATTAGAATTCCCGCCTGATATATTCTACTTTCACCATCCAATCCCACTACGATTACTACTCCAAAATGTTTCGCAACACTAAGTGCTTCAATTATTAATAGCAAAGTCTTGCTTTCTGAAATAATCCATTTGTCTCTAGAATTAAAAAAGAGAGGGTGGAGATATGCAAATGCAGGGGAAACGTCATTGGTCAGCAGGGGTTGCTATGGTGATCATGCAGCCAATCGCTGAGCGGCCAGTTCCTCCACGTCCTCGCGGTTCTCGTTGATCTCGGTGAGCGTGAGCACAAAGCGCGTCCATTCGTCCTGCCGCGGCACTGAGATTTGCTGTAGAGAAAACAAGACGTGTTTTAATGACAGACCACAGTTGCAGAAGTTCATTTAACTGTATTTAATTGCATCCTCACCTCTCCGACGTCATAAATGTGCACCTGGCCCTCAGAGTCGCCGACGGCCACCTCTCGTCCCGAATGAGCCCAGCGCACGCGGTTCAGCGCAGGGCTTCCCTCCACCGTCACACTCGCTGTGGGAACCTGAAGCAGCAGATTGTCAGTCATTCAAGATTTGTGGATTTGTTCAGATTATATTTCTAGGAGATTTTAGTACCTCAGTTTCGTTGCTGAGGTTCCACAGGTCCAAATGTCCGACTCCGTCCACGCAGGCAAACAGAGCGGGGTGTGTGGGAGACCACATGACGTCATACACGTAGTCTGAATTATCCTCGAAAGAGTACAAGGGCTTATTGTTCTGTCAGGAGAGACACAGACAGACCAGCGTTGTTAATTGTTGACTAAACCTATTAAATATTGCTTTCATTCATTGAAATGCAGCAGATATTACGTACACATAAAAAACTTAAGTTAAAGTTAAGGTTTTAAGTTGAAGGTTCCAAAATTGCTCAAATTAAAACTGAAATAAAAATAAAGCTTATTGTTCTGTCAGGAGAGATACAAACAGACCAGTGTTGTTATTTTTAAATAAAACTAAGAAAAAGTTTTCAGTAATTGAAATAAAGAAAAATAATAATAATTTAAACATAAATATTTGATGAAAATGTTAAAAAAAATTAATTGAAAATTAGAAACAAATAAAACAAGTTCAAGTACTAACCTTACTAAAACTTCTTAAACTTATTCAAATTATTAAACTTATTCAAATTTAATTTCAGTAAAACTTAAATAAAATGTAAATATTCAATAACTTAACAATAAAGTAAAATAAAATACAAACATTAGATTTAAAACTTAAAAAAAAACATATAAAAAAAGAAAAGAAATGAAAATTAGAATCTAAAATAAAATGTTTAAGTACTCAAATTACTAAAACTGAAATAAAAATAAACCTAAACAGAAAAAAAAATTAACAACTAAATTGAAAATATAAAAATACAAATGAATTCAAAATATTAATAGTATTAATATTAATACTATCATAGTATTTAAATAATATTAATACTATAATAGTATATAAATAATGTTTGTAGTGTGTTTGGCACCTTGGTACTCCAGAGTTTGACGGTCCAGTCAAAAGAGGAAGTGACAAACAGGTGAGAGAAGTCGACCGGTCCTGCCGCTGTGTGGCAGTCGAGGCCTGTGATTGGTCCATGATGACCCTCAAACATCTCACTGATGCCCGCTTTACTACAACAAACACACACACACACACACAATGCAATGAAACGGACACAAACAGCTTGATGCTCACACACTCACCTGCCGTGTCTGCAGGCGGTGTAGACGGACCCGTCCTCACTGCCCACCACAAAGTTATTGACGTCACCCAGAGGAAATGACATGGAGGTGACGGCCACTGACTTGGACTGTTTGAACACGAGCTCCAGACTGTCCTACAAACACACACACACTCAGATGCGTGAGTCTGACTGGATGAATGAGAGACAATGGCTCCGTTTCAAATTCGAGTGACTTTTTTTTGTTGACATTTTTAGGAATCATAGAAGAATTTTTATAATAATGTATTTGGCAGATACTTTTATCCAAATTGACTTTATGCATTGCCTAGGAAAAGTTTGGGTCGTTAAGATTTTTAAAATGTTTTTGAAAGGTCTATTTTGCTCACCGAGGCTGCATTCATTTGATTCAAAATTCTGTAAAAACAGTATTATGAAATATTATTACAATTTAAAATAACTCTTTTCTATATGAATATATTTTTAAAATGTAATTTATTCCTGTGATGCGCAGCTGAATTTTCAGCATCATCACTCCAGTCTTCAGTGTCACATGATCCTTCAGAAATCATCCTAATAGTCTGATTTGCTGCATAAGAAACATTTCTGATTATTATCAGTGTTGAAAAAAGTTGTGCTGCTTCATACTTTTGTGGAAACCATGAACCTTCTTTGTATAGAAAATACAAAAGAACAGCACTATTGTGCAACAGAAATAGTTTGACATTATAAATATATTTACTGTCACTTTGATTAATTTAATGTGACTTACTGATAACTTACTGAACACAAACTTTTGAACAGTAGTGCATCTAGAGGCCTTGTATGTGTTACCTAATTAAATTAAGTAACTAACAATGAATAATTTATAAATAAATGAATTAAAAATAAGTTAATTAATTCATTAATTATAAATCAATGAATAACTAAATCAATTAAAATAAATATTTAAAACAACAATGAAATAATAAGTAGTTACATTTAAAAAAAGATATATTAAATTAAAACAACAAATAATTAAACAAATAACATACAGTAAACAAAGATTTTAAAACAAATCCATCTGCTGAGAGGAGATAATAGCAACAGTATAGTTTCTGAATGCATGTTCAAAAACATTATTTTTAAAATTCTGCTTAAATTGCCTTTAATATAGTTAGACAGCTTTTAGCTAGCTGTGCTGGGGGTGAGGAAGGGAAATGTACTTCACATGGTTGTGTGTTTGTACCTGTGGTGTGGACAGCATGTCCAGACTCCAGGAGCACATCTTGCCGTCAGTGGAGATGCTGATGAGATTGTGAGCGTTCTGCGTCCCCACCACATTCACACAGTACACCGGGTGCTGCAGACACACAGACACAGATGATTGAGAACAGTGCAGATGAAGATGATGAAGATGATGCTGATGAGTCGGTGTGTGTCTGCGTGTACCGTGTGAGCCGAGGCGGAGAGCGGCGTCCTCTGCACAGGGGTGCGTTTGTTACTGCGGTTGTCCCACAGGACGATCTGCCCCGAGTACGTGCCTCCTACCACCATATTAGGATGAAACTGTGCAAACGCTGCTGACATCACTGCAGACTGAACAAACACACATAAGACCCTCTTCATAATGATGTATTATTACATCACATAAAAATATATGAGAAATACAAATATTGTATTTTATCAAATAAACTGACTAAATGACTAACATTAAAACTATTAAAACATTTAGTTTGGTATGAACTTCATGCATTTATTTGAATTAATTTGAATTAGTCATCCATCCATTCTTTAAACCACTTATCTTATTTAATTGATTGATTGATTTTAATAACTTTAAAATGTTTGTTAGTTTGCTTGTTTATTCATGCATTTATTTGAACTAACTTTTATGAGTCATCCATCCATTCTCCAAACCACTTGTGATCTTTATTTATTTATTTATTTATTTTAATACCTTTAATTAATAAGTTTGTTTGTTTATGCATTTATTTTAATTAGTCATCTATCCATTCTTCAAAACACTTGTGATCTTTATTTATTTATTATTATTTTATTATTTTAACTTATTTCTATTAAGAAAAAAGTAATTTTCGTAACATAAATATGACGTAAATAAGTTGTGATCTTGAGGACGAGATCAGAATAATACCAAGACAAAAATATAATTTACATTATTTAATGCATATCCTTCACAGAGATATGCATAAAGATCATCACCTGGCAGTGGAAGACATATTCCGGTGTGGTTTTCTTATATTTCATGTTCCAGACGAGAGTCACACCGTCGGGCTCATGTGGAGCGTCTTCATTACTGCTGTAGGACGCCACCAGCAGCTCAGGGTACTGACGGGAATGACAGAAAACAGGACAACAGAGGCAAACTTCACTGAAATGGTCTTAAAAGCAGCGTTAAACACTTCCAGCGTGATCACGTACCTGCGGTGACCAGTCGAGACAGGTGACGACCCTGTGTTTGGACCAGCGCTCGTCTGCAAACTGTCTGTTCAGGGAGAGTTTGGCTCCAGCCTGAGACTCTCTGACACAAACACAATAAAACAATCACAAACCACACATCGCACACCAGAGACAAACCACATCTGCTAACAGATAAACACACTCACCCCTCTTTATCCTGAAGGTCTCGTCCGCTGTAGTCGAAAAACACGTCCACCTGCTCAGAGAGAGCGCGCTCCACGATACGAGAGCTGTGGTCAAAGAAAGTCACAAACTCCTCCGAGTGAAGAATCTGCTGTTTCTCTTCCTCCGTCAGCTCATGAGGGGGCGCTACGCACAGAAACACTTCCCTTCATCAGCTGAAATGCTCAGCTATATTTCATGTTTAACTATGTTTACGAGCACTACCTTCCTCTTCCTCTTTCTGAGAGTCTTTCTCATCTTGATTCTCCAGAGCAGGCTGCGTCACTGCCAAATCTTCCTCCTCCTCCTCATCTACACACAGCAGTGAAGGACTTTAGTTTCATATGCACACTGATGTATTAAAGAAATGCAATGCGTGTGATTTACCATCTTTGTGATGAGTCTGTGTGGGCGTCTGAGTCTCTTTTGTGTACGACACCAGCTCTCTGGGCGGGAAGTCCACCTGCGTGACCTTTGACATGCCCAGTTTCAACGGGCCACGTCTGCAGAAAATACAGTCATATGTTTAGACCGAAAAAGAGTGTGGGATACTGTAATGATAAATAATTAAATCTAAAATAAATCAATAAAAATGGTAAGTAATTAAATGATAAACAATAAATAAATTAAATTAAATTAAAACTAAATAAAAATATTAAGTAATTAAATGATAAACAATAAATAATGAAATAAAAAAATACAATTTAAAAAAATGGAAAATAATAAAAACAATAGATAATTTAATTAATTAATTAATTAAAATAAATGATAAAAAATAAATTAATTACAAAAATGAAAAATAGTAAAAACAATAACTAAATAAAACATTTAAAATAATTAATAAAACATACATAAATTACAAATAAATAAATAAAAAGTACATCAATTAATTAACATTAATTCATTATTTAATTAAAATTAATTTGTTAAAATAAAAAATAATAAATAATTAAATTTAATATAATAAGTAACTACATTTAAAACAAATAAATACATTTTTAAAAAGCACACAGGAAAACCAGAAATTCATCAAATTTTATCTGCTGAGGGGTGATATTATGTCCAGAAATTCATTATGTGAATAACAGGTTTATGGGAGGCTTGAACCTGCGCAAGGATGTCAAAACAAAAGGTTTAGGGAGTCTTATGAAGTAAATCCTAAACTAAATACAGTTTAATTCTATCCCCCAGTTTCACAGACAAGGCTTAAGCCTAGTCCCAGACTAAAATGTAAGTCTGAGCTGTTTCAACTGAAAGAAACTTACACTGACTGATCTTAAAATATATCAGTGCCTTTGTTTTGTCTCAAGATGCACATCAGTAATGTTTTTTTTTTTTCTAAAAATTACTTAAATGTCCTAATTGAACTATGACCCAATCCTGGCTTAGTCTAAGCCCTGTCTGTGAAACCAGGCCTATAGGTTACATAAGGAACATTTCATGTTGGTCAGAAAAGGTAAATATAGCAACAGTAGGACGTTTCAATTCTTTCCAACAGGAAATAAGATTGTACAGTACATTGACAAATCATGGGTCACTCTACCTGGACTCTCGGTTTAATGACAAGTGGTGGGAGTGTGATGGAAACATGTTTGAAAAACGTATCTTTAATATAGTTAGAGAGCATTTAGCTAGCTATGCTAGGGGTGTCGAAGGGAAATATAATTCACATCGTATTCACACGATGCACTTTGGTTTGGTTCATCACGACTATCCAAGAAAAAAAAGACAGCAAGATTGAGGGGACAAATGTGAGACAGAAGGATAAATGAAGGAGAGAATGCAGGAGAAGCGCAGCAGGAGTGATGGTTAAAGCAGTACCCGAGCTGAGAGTCTGAATGGAGCAGTAGAGTAGAGGGGTCAGAGTCCCAATGAAGAGTCCTGTTAGAGACACACACACACAAAGAGGCAGACACGCATGCAGAGCAGTTATAAGAGTCGCTGTTATACACTAATATACATGTGCATGCACACACACGCTTCAGATGAGCTTCACATACTACACAATACGAAACAGAGAAACTCACATTTCCAGTTTAGTAGTGCACTTAACATTTTTATAATGTGTGATGGATGAAATGTGTGCAGGTGATACAGCACATTAGAAAGCATTAAGAAGACCTTAAATCATAACATTATGATAGACCTTAAAAGATTTTTTTAGTCATTCAAACTGTGGAAAATGTATGTGAATACTTTCTAAATGTACTGTATGTGTCATTGATATTTTGATGTTTTTTTAAATTAAACTCACTAAAACTGAAAACATCCGTTTAATTGTTGTCTCTCATTTTTTTAGTCAAATCAAAATGGTGAGAACAGTGCCAACCTGTAGCGACAAGAAATGACAGATGAAGAAAAACTCAAAACATTTAATAAAAATGACAGAAAATGGGACAAATTATAAGAATGGAGAAAAAAGATGTTAAAGCACAATTGATGAAATAATTTTTACAGCGAAACATGAAGGAATGTGAAATACAGAGCGTGAAGCAAAGTTTAGTTGTTTATGCTTGCTTGCTTGCCAGGCAACATGTTAAAATAATGATCTATGTTTTACATTGTGAAGCCGTTTTTATCATTTATGTCATGAATAATGAAGAAAAAATAGGATGCAGAATCTTTCATTTGTAAAGTATTTAATTCACTTAATTATCCAAAAACAGGCATTATCACATGGTATTTTAAAGTATAAACCATATTTTAATTAAATTTCAAGCAAAATGAACTTTTGCTTGAATGTTTTTGAAAGAAGTCTCTTCTAATCACCAAACCTGCATTCAAAATGAAACAATTATCACATGGTATTTTAAAGTATAAACCATATTTTAATTAAATTTCAAGCAAAATGAACTTTTGCTTGAATGTTTTTGAAAGAAGTCTCTTCTAATCACCAAACCTGCATTTATTTGATCAAGAATACAGTAGGAATTGTAATATTGTGAAAAATGACTATAATTTAAAATAACTGTTTTGTATGTGAATATATTGTCAAATGTAATTTATTTCTGTGATGCAAAGCTGAATTTTCAGCATCATTACTCATCAGTGTCACATGATCCTTCAGAAATCATTCTAATATGTGACCCTGGACCACAAAACCTCTGAAAAGTCTTAAGTGTCAATTTTTCAAAATTGAGATTTATACATCATCTGAAAGCTTCCATTGATGTATGGTTTGTTAGGATAGGACAATATTTGGTCGAGATACAACTATTTGAAAATCTGGAATCTGAGGGTGCAAAAAAATTTTAATATTGAGAAAATCGCCTTTAAAGTTGTCCAAATTAAGTTCTTAGCAATGCACATTACTAATCAAAAATTAAGTTTTGATATATTTACAGTAGGACATTTACAAAATATCTTCATGGAACATGATCTTTACTTAATATCCTAATGATTTTTGGCATAAAAGAAAAATCTATAATTTTGACCCATATAATGTATTTTTGGCTATTGCTACAAATATACCCCAGCGACTTAAGACTGGTTTTGTGCTCCAGGGTCACATATGCTGATTTGCGGCTCAAGAAACATTTCTGATTATTATTAGTTGAAAACAGGTGTGCAGTGTCATATTTCTGTGGTATGATGCATTTTCAGGATTCTTTGATAAATAGGAAGTTCAAAAGAAGTGTTTATTTGAATGGAATGTCTTTTTAAAAACACTTTTGATCAGTTTAATGCATCTTTGTTGAAGAAAAGTAGTCTTTTTTTTTTTTTATCTTACTGACCCCAAATTTTTTTAATGGTACTGTATATACAGTTAGGCTGATATAAAAGTACTCATACTGTGATATGAGATCTCTGATGTCAGTGCACACATGTGCGTCTCACCTCGGCCCCGTGCCGCCGTCTCCTGAGTCCTGGCTGCCCGTTTCGCTGGGTGTGCCCACTGATTTGGCAGAGGGGGACATGGGAGGGGGGACTAAATAGTGAAACAGACACGTATCCTCTGTTACCACACGCAGAGGTTGCACTACATACACACACACATCCACATGCGCAAGCAAAGCCAAGGGGGTGTTTGAAAAAAATAAAAGAGCAAAAAAACATGAAAATAAAAACGATAAATATAAAAAGTAGGTAAGCAGCATCAAGCGAGAGCAGGGTGATGTAACAATCACGATGAAGCAGCAAAACCAAAGGATTGAGCCAAAAAAAAAGAGAAGACAAAAAGGACAGTGGTTAATATTCATGCAGGATCCACATGCGTTAAAAAGACATCAGTGCTCATTCCAAATCAAACCAAATTATTTCATGAAGAAAGAAGAAATAATGAAGAAATGGATAACAGTACTAAACAAATTAGCTTTATTTGAAGGTTTTGGGTTTCTGTCAGCTGGTCAGGCTAGGTGAGCAGCTAACCATCCAGCTAAACCAGCTTAAAACAGATCATATCATATATGTGTTTAAGAAATTATAACAGGTATCCAGTGTTCTCCTTATTGATCTCATTACGACTGATTTAGGTTTTTTGTTGTTGTTGTTGTTTTTCAGGCATGATTAAAGGGATAGTTCACCCAAAACTAAAAATAGCATCATCATTTACTGAATGTTGGTAACCAAACACTTGACGGTAGCCATTGACTTCCATATTATGGGAAAAAATACAATGGAAGTCAATGGCTACGTTTTACGAAGTCAATTACGTTTTGAATATGGATATTTTTCTTACAAAAACGCATCGATTCGCTACAGAAGGCCTTTGTTCACCCCCTGGAGCCATGTGAGACGCTTTTTTTATGGCTGGGCGATTTTTATTTAAGTTATTTTGGACAGAAGCAATGCAACACCCGCTGAGTGGCATTAAACAGCTTGGAAGATCAAAGACAATTTTTAATATAACTCCGACTGGATTCGACTGAAAGAAGAAAGTCATATACACCTAGGATGCCTCAGGGGTGAGTAAAACGCAGCCTAATTTTCATTTTTGGGTGAACTAACCTATGTTAATCTGTCTGATGAACAGAAAAATGTTGAAGAAGTTCAGAACAGGTCAAGGAACTTTGCTGCCGTACCATGGGTGCAGCAGGCGCAATGATATTACGCAGCGCCTAAAAATAGTCCCAGCTAGGTAACTTCCAATAAGCCTATTTTCAGGCGCTGCGTAATATCATTGAAACTCAACTGTTTAACTCTAGGGGAGTTGGAAAATGAGCCTATTTTCAAAAATAGTGGAGTGTTCCTTTAAAGCTTTTTCTAAAGAAAAAGAGAATTCTTCTGATATGACCCCTTTTCGTCAGTAAGAAAAAAAGCATGCTTGTTGCTAACACTTATTAGTGACAAAAGCCTAATCTCCCATGCTGCTTTGTTGTTTCGTACCCATGGAGGCATCCACTATCCCCATGCTCTGCAGCAGAGCCTCTGCCTCCCTCCTCTTCCTCTCCAGATCAGAGTCATCCTGCGGAGGAGACGCTCCCTCCTTCCGTCCATCCAGCTACAGCAGCAGGAGAGAGAGAGAGAAAGAGAGAGAGAGGTTGTTTCAGAATAACAAACACAAAGACATCAAACCACTGCAGTTTAGACCCCAGCTCACCTCTTTCTTCTTGCGCTCTTCCTCTTTCTTCTTCTTCTCCTCTCTGATCTGAGCCAGTCGCTGTTTCTTTCTCTCTAACTCTGCTTTCAGCTCACTTTTGTCAGACATTCTGCAGACAGATTTAAATCAAATCAAGTCTTGTGGGTATATTTGCAAAAAAAATCTTTTGGATGCCTTTATTGTTCGTCGGTAAATCCTAAAGACTGCACAGCATATTTAGTGGTATTAACTGAGACACAATGCAATTACAAAAATGAACAGGTAACACTTTAAAACAACACATTATAAGAAATGTATTTACTTGCTGCTGCTTATATTTCTGTGTTTTTGATTTAGAGTTATGATTCAATGTTACAACTATATATAAATAATTATAACCAGTGATATTTTAGTATCTATAGATTTGTTGATTTTTTTGAATTAGCTTTTATTTTTATATTTTGTTATCAATTTAATTTTTAGTAATTTTGTGTGTTTTTTGTCATTTTTATTATTTCTTTTTTTAATGGTTCTAATTTTGGTGACATATAATAACCCTGATTTTATCCGAATGTTTCATCTGTTGTTTCATATTACATGAGCAGTCTCTAGTGGTCATTCAGAGAATATCACACACATCTGATGGCGCTGAGGTCATTCTGGTCCACACCACACCCATGAGCTCAATCATTACAAACAGCACAACACTGCTTCAACAGCTTAAACTCTGCTTTAGTGTTTCAGGGTTGGGCAAAAAGTCTGAATTTAAGAACTGGCTCCTTCTGCTTCATGACACAAACCACAGGATTTTGATTTTGATTCATACAATCAATATCATTTATTTGTCTCTTTCAATGTATGCTGCTTGGATTTATTGAGTCTGTGTTGAACAATGATAATGCCTGTTCGTTATTTGAAGAGGTTTAATAAAGGTTTAAAAACAAATTCAATAAAAAAAATTTACGTCAGAGGAATTTCAGATGTCAATTTCTCAGATTTTCTTAGATTTTCAGCTTTCCTAACATAATTTTGATCCAATTTTAATTTATTCTCTCACATGTAGAGTACATTAGAATCTATTTAAAATGCTATTAATTTTGTCTAATGTTTCCAGCAATACTCTTATGTGTAAAATAACATGTTTATAGGTAATTTATTCTGAAACATGAAACATTATTACTTACAATAGTTATATTCATTTCTTTAAATCCAACTGCATTTTAATTCTACTATCATAAACTCAAATTTGAATTATAATTGTGTTCTGTGCGCATCTGTGCTACTTCAAATCAAAAACAGGAACCGAACTGGAATTGCATGAGGTTTTTAAGTTTAATTCTGAATGGCACACATCCTTGTTTTTAGTACACTTGAAAAAAAATTAAGAAATCAAAGTTATTTACAAGAAATCTTCATGATAATAAACGTAGTACATAATATAAAATAATGATGTTTACTTAAAGACAGCTCCATGACCATGTAGCCTGAGACGAGTTTGTTCAATGACACACACACACACACACACACACACACACAGATGTTTACTTAAAGACAGCTCCATGACCATGTAGCCTGAGATGAGTTTGTTCAATGACACACACACACACAGATGTTTACTTAAAGACAGCTCCATGACCATGTAGCCTGAGAAAAGTTTGTTCAATGACACACACACACACAGATGTTTACTTAAAGACAGCTCCATGACCATGTAGCCTGAGAAAAGTTTGTTCAATGACACACACACACACAGATGTTTACTTAAAGACAGCTCCATGACCATGTAGCCTGAGAAAAGTTTGTTCAATGACACACACACACACAGATGTTTACTTAAAGACAGCTCCATGACCATGTAGCCTGAGACAAGTTTGTTCAATGACACACACACACTCACTCACACACACTCTCGCACACACACACACACACACACATACACATACACTCTCTCACACACACACACACTCACTCACTCACTCACACACACACACACACACACACACACACACACACACTCACACTCACA